TGAGTCCAAATTAAAATAAAAAAATAAGAAATATGAATTTTTTTTCTGGACCTCGTTAAAAATTTTCAAATGTATCCGGACCCCACCTAAAATTATTTGACTTGATTTAGAGACAAAAAATAATTCTATAAAGTACCTACATATCTTGCTAGTAGGTACTGATTTTGTTTGATCTTAAAACGTATTTGTATTTCAATTCCGAACGAATATTTAAAAGGTTGCAAATATTGAAAGGCGCCTTGTAACATTGTATCGAAGAAATGAAGGTAGGATGTTACCATATAATAAGAATTGCAAAGATGGAAAGACAAATTTTGGATAGGACTGAGGAAACCCCCTAAAATAAGTACTAGATGCGTAGAAAGTGAACTGGGAGTTTCTACGGTCATCACTTCTACCCATAGATTTAGAAATGTGGTGTATTTGAAATAAGCAAACCTGCAATATGAATTTTAAAAAACGAATTTTATTTACTGATGAGGATATCTTTACAAGATCTAAAGTAACTAACCTTCACAATGATCATGACTACGCTGATGAAAATGAACAATCTCAGTTACTTACTAGTTGTTAGGAATGTAATTCAATACCAGCTGGTGCATAAAGCCCATAGAGTTAGATGCTTCCTACAATATCATCAGTTAGACATGCGTTTATAGTAGCTGCATATTAGTAGGTCACTTTGTGCTGGTAGGTACATGTGCCAGTAGACACGAAGTAACAATGACATTTAAAGGCGACATACATTTTGTGGATTATATCTCGTCAAAAGTGAATTACTAAATCGACTTATTTTGTGTCCAGGAATCTGTGGTTTCCTTTATAAACACATGTACATGATNCCAGGAATCTGTGGTTTCCTTTATAAACACATGTACAGGATACTTTGTGTATATATTTTCATAAAATTACTTACATGTAACCAGTATTGGTATAATGAGGCCAAGAACGCTAGCTCCAGAGTGACTAGTAATCGTTATATATACAGCAAAGTAAAAGGATGAGATTTGTAGAACAACCAGCTCCATAACAGAGAATAGTAACCATCCTGTTAAAATTATTTGCTTCCTCTAAAAAAAATCAATGTAGAACATGTGCTGAGATGATTTTTACTGGTAGATAATTAAAATTTTATTAAGTTGATAGAAGTATGGCTTTTCAAATAAATATTTCCCTTTTTTATACCCCAAAGGTGACTTGTATTATTAATAACTCGGTACGTTTTTACATTGTTATTAATTTACATTGTTATTAATTTATATTGTTATTAATTTACATTGTTATTAATTTCGAACAACAGCAATCAGCAACGTTACGACAAACTCGTGAAAACAAATGAAAAAAAAGTTTTCCTATAATATTTTCAAGGTGATATTTCAAATATAGGACGTGAATCACAGTTCTTAATTTATTTTTCAAGAATAACTGACGATATATGTTTGGAATTTGCTGCAGAGCATTTTTTATATTAGCTACCTTAATGCAAAATATGAATAAAAATCAATCGCATCGTAATTAGAAGAGGATTATGCGAAGTTCAATTATGAAAAGGAGTTATTTGACGCTGAACAATTTCTAATAAAAAAATATTTGACTATTGAGTTTTATTTTTTTAATGTTTATTAGGAGAGGTTTAGCAACCATGACGATTTTTGAACGTTTTCCAGAAATCGATCATAAATAGAAAACAATAAGGAATAATTGGAAAGGAAAAGTTTTATCTACTATCAGACTACTTTGAATTCAAATGAATGCAAATTTGTGCAAAAGAAATCAACTTCCTCATGGTTAATGAATCTTTCTATAAAAAAAAAACTACAAACGTTTTATTTGACAATGGTCTTTTTAAATATATGAAAAATATTCTCTTTAACGTCAAATAACTTTTTTCAAACAGTTGGAACCTTTTAGCCCCTTGAACTTGTATACCAACTGTGAGGTAACTATATGTATACAAATCTTCAGTGTTCATTGAGCAATTGATTAAAAAAATTGTGGGTTACATCCAATATTTGAAGAATTGTAGATCCCTCAGATATGGTTAAAATCGTTACTCCTATCCTTTTTTTTATTATTGAGACGAGCAAAATCTACCCTGACTGTTTATTAGAATGTCACTGTTACACTCTCTATATTAAGTGATATCTAAGACTTACCTTAATAAGGCCAAATATTAGCCACAAATAAGCAATAATGTCTATTACTATGAAAAACATTATATCTATTAATATATGTGTGATAGGTTTTTCCTTAGTTTTATTAATTTTATGTCCATGAACGTAGTAACCTAGGAAATAGAAACAAACAAATCTGTTAATACTAAATGTTGTTATCGATAGTTGATGATAATCTTTAGTTTAGTCGTTAGCATAGAAAATAATTAAATAATGCAAAATATCTTTACCTCTTTTGCCTGGAGATGCTTCTATAACGACTTTGAAGAGGATTGCCAAACATAATATCTGAATAGCCAAGTTTATACATGACTGAATTAGTCCAACTTTTCTGAAGTTGTTACCAGTACACAGGCTACCTTTTAAGAGAAACATATTTTGAATGCCTCTTACACTTTAGGAGAAAGATGTTGAAATGAATGGTTCAATGGAGACCTGTTTGCTAGATAAGATAAAATTCTTAGCAGATGTAGCACTTAAGATAGATAATAGTAGGAGATGAGAGTATGTCAAATAAGTTGAAAATACGATGTATTATTGACAGATAACTTATAAGCGGTGTGGAGGTAGCTGACGCAGTTAGAGCAGCTAATATTTCGGAATTCAGCCGATGCAATTAGAAAAGTAAGAATATTAGAAGATAGAAGCATATAAAGGTGGACACACATGGAAACTGCAGAGATAGTTATGAACACTGACTTTTGGACATCTTCTTTTCCTAGTGGCTGGTTGTAATAAGTCCTATGGCACCGCGGTCTTATCAGGCCTATTGTGTGTCCCACTACTTAGTCCTATTCAGCAAGTAGTTTTCTTATTTTAACAAAGTCCAAAAGCTTCCTTGCCGACACTTCTCTCAGCTCCTTGGGATCCATCTAGAATCCAAATCTTGGGTTTCATCCGCCATCATCAGTCATATCGTCATATCTTCGGCAAACCGGACTGTCCACTAGCTTTAGCTTAAAGATGTTTCCCAAAGTGACAGTGTCCTGTTATAAGTCTCGTCACTCTCCTGAGCCGAATTTTATTCAAGCTCAGCAACTCATTTGCTCTTTCCTTCAAAGGAAACTTCATAAGCTCCTATGAATGGCTATGCCCTAGCCTTGAAATCCGGTACTTCCTATGTTTTGTCTCGGTCAGACTGGCCACACTGGGAGATGTACCGCAGAACGGCTCCGGGCCAATGAACTCTTCTCGGATCCCTTTCTAGCAAGTTCATTCGCTCTCTTGTTCCAACTAATGCCTTTGTGTTTTGGCACCCAACACAGTCTAACTGTATTATTGGTAGCCAGTTCAGTCAGCATTTGTAAACATTCCTACAAACTTTTCGTTCCATCTGCTTTGATCCTCTATTCGAAT